CATTTTTACGAAAACGAACAAGCTTATGAGTTTCTTTGACCTTTAGTACGCTTGAATATGGCCTCGGAACCCTGCCTGAGACTGGGCGTGACAAATTCCCAGTCGTTTCGTCAAGGTTTTTAAGCCCTGCATCAATCACACATATGCAACAATTAGCCAAACCCGTAGTGATGGAAAGCTTGATTGCCCTGGAGGATTCAGCCCCGAATTTCATTCCAAGACCATGCCTGCGCTAGCGGCGCCATTTATCACCGTTCCCTCTCCCCCTAATTTATACACCGAATGTGCGTTCAAATGTCTTAACTGGTTTATGTCAAGCTTGTGTTCAAGGCGAATACCGAAGGCATCGTCAGCCCTGCGAACCGTCTCATGATTACCCCTTACCATTACAGAGTCAGTTCGCCCCCGTCCATCCTGCCGACATCACTACCTGGCGAATGTCTACAGCACATCGGTACTGCCAATTCAAGAAAATGTCGACGTTTCCAACATCGTCTGTCAAATGCCTTCAACCGACGCCGACAATGCCTTCGTGACCACCGAAGTTCACTCTGGCTTGGCGCGGCTCCACCGAGTCACCGACAGTCGCAGTGTCAATTTCCAGTAAGTGGCCACTTGAATTCGATTCTAATGAAAACACTCGACCGAAAAACATCCCAAAAACTTATTCCGGGCCAAAGATTTCCACTGAGACAATGATTTTCCACTGAGAAATCCTCAGATGTTCGTCTAGTAAACGTTCACTTCCCAAGTGTCAACAATCCTTATTTGGGTATTCGTTCTCCACCCCGATTCCAACCAATTTCCACAAATGGGAGCAGTTATTGCTGTGGGTAAACAAATGCAATGTTCAGAATAATGGATTTGCCAATGTTACGCGATCTGGTACGATCGTCGGATTGCGAACAGATGATAACTGTCACATGGGAACGCCCACCTCCGGATGACAGGTAATTTCGGAAGCATTCAATTTTGAAGTTGCTTTGAAAAATCAACCAGGATAATCATAGAAAGTTGAAAGTTTTCAAAATATGCTCCAATTATAATATTACATATACAAACCCCAATTTTCATTCTCTTCTCTCGGGTAACCGACAGGAAGCCCGTCGCGCGGCAACAAGGCAAAGCCAGCAGACGAGTCGCAACGCATGATGTGCGATTCTATTTGATTTTACGCGAAATCACTACAGTACGCGCTGCGACTCGTCCGCTGGCTTTTCCTTGTTACCGCACGACGGGCCTCCTGTCGGGTACTCTCTTCTCTTGGATCTCTTGAGATGTCAGATTGGGAGTTTGCCAACGTGAAACGAATAGTTGGCATAACCCTCCTATTTAACCCCGCCAAGCCACCCTGTTCTTGCTATCATTGTAGTGCACTGATGTGAGCTTTTTGTGAACCATGCCAGGTCAGAAGCAAGTCTACAAGGGTTCTGTGGGTAGAATTTGTCTGGTAGGAATTGCTCAACACTTTGGTTCTGTTTCTCTCTATAAAAAGTCAGGTAGATAATTAGAGTAACTAATTAATTTTCAGCAATTATTCTCGATTTTCTTTCAATATTTCTCCGGGTTTTTTTTTTTCTTCCTTAATTTTTCTCCACCTCTCCTGGACAAGCCTATTAGATAGATCCAACTCACCAATAAAACTATGTAAGGTGTGAAGCGCCCGGCGTTGACCAATCTTTCTGGGGTGCGCCATGCCTTCTACTCCCATTGAACGACTAGCAGGGTCGAGTCGATGTATAATTCAATGTTTCCTCCCACACATTTCTTGCACCTGACCCGGAGAGTAGAAACCTTGGACTTGGCTCGACCAAGATTTGATCTCCATACCATAACTTTACACTTCATCACTTCGACTGCGTACAGTGAGGGCTTCGGCCAATACAGCGAAGGCTGACAATGAGCAATTTGACTGATACTTCTGCGTTATTGCACTTCCACCAATGCAGCGACTCCGTTGAGACGAAAGGTTCGCCTGACCTGGATGAGATCTGATCCGCACCTCCTACCACTGCTCCACTTTCGCTCAAATTAAAATCTGAACAACAAAAAGATGACAATCTGTGAGTGCCGGTGAAATACGCAAAAGCATCACAGGTCTTTCGCTAGTGTAACAGAAAGTAGACTTCGGCGGAAAAAATTCATGCTGGGTTCGGGTAATCTGGTTCGCTTCGACATCCCGCTGTGACCGTCACTCAGATTCTCATGGTGAATTCAATATACTCCCAGCATTTCACTGCGAATTCGACGCCAGAATGACCAGCAACAGTTGTCGCCAGCCCAAATCTCATCAGTAATGACCTTATTAGTTAATTGTTTGGTAATTATGGTGAGAAAGGCATGAGGTGATGTGAAGGGAGGATGCGGCTCTCGGGTGACATCCGAGATGATTGGTTGAGTGGCTAATGTGGGAGATTTTCTCGTGCATTCCCTTGAGCACTGGCTTTCACATGGGCTACTGCTGTGGCGCCTCTCTGTAACCAGCGTTACTACGCCTATGACAAGTGGGCAAGGTATATGACAAAACGATCGAATCATTCTCACTGGGATGCGCCATGTAGTCATCTTCCATTGACATTTTTGACCAATAGCGACAGTGAAAGGCACGTTAACCTGGCTTATTATGAAGGTCGAGCTGATGTGAGGAGTTTATTCCGGCTGAAGTTCTTCTCCTTGGGCTACCTAGTGTGGGCAGCACTTTGTCACTTTGTATAGCTGTGTCCTGCTTCGCTGGAGTGCGATTATGTGAGACTACCGTAGAATTGATCTGTTCAGCCTGCTCAGTCAATTGCGAGCGCAGCGAGATCGTTTACCATTAGCACCGTCACACATGTCGCTCCCAGTCCAACACTTGGTATTCGCGGACAATTCTTTGCATAGCTCTATTCATGCGAGTTTTGATCTCTCGGAAGAATTTGACTCTTTTTACAGTAATTTTTGTTGATTCGGCCTAGTTTTTAATGATTGGGTTTTTCTTGCTCACCCAGTCATTGCGTCACGATCGCAACTTCGAAAAGGTATATATAAGGTTACGACTCTACAGTTAATAGTAAAACCGGCAGCGAGCTGTCGGCGGGTATAATCTGGCACTGTTTTCTTTGAGTCGGAGGAAGCTCATTAGAGCATCGTCACGGGAAAATTATTGACATTCCTTGGACTCAACAACAATACGTTACGTTGCCATCTAGAAACAAACGTACTAAGGTTTCAGCAAAGAAGACCCAGCTTTCCGGAGAGAACAACCTTACGAAACCCATATGGGGTTAGTCGCGGGTAGTAGGGCGCGAGAGAAGGGAACGCATGGAAGAGAGTGCGCTCGGGCAGAATCAGTAACGAGCATTTAAGAGCTTCCCGAATATGGAGAATAGAGACAAAAGATTGAAAGAATAGGATAGCAGCAAAGGTCTAAAAAGGGTTTTTCTATTTGAAGGCACTTTGAGACCAAGTGGATTTCAGTCGCAAATTGGACAGGCGGGGACTTCAATGACACATTTAGCCTCTATTTTTCGAACTGTTTAACAAGTGAACGCTTTTCTTTTGCTTCTTATCGGGAACTGTGGGTTTAAAGCCAGTGATTTATCGGTGAGATCAAATCATGATTTTCCTGGGTGATTGGGTTCAGAAGTTCCGGATGTTCGTTGTCATTTGGCCTGGGGCACTAGCGAGTAGTCGCGTTTCCAGCTTCAACTAACCCTTTTGAAACTCATGTGAAGAGAGGGAGGCGTGAGAGCTCTAGGTATTAATCACAATGACACCCATAAGTCATCTTCTCAATGGCATATGCGCTTGATAAGTGCCTAATTTCGCTAAGAAAGGCCCGGGTTTCGGGTCATTTACACCGCTCTAAAATCGATCCGAGTCGCTACTATGTGAAAGAATTCTCACGACACTGAAATTTTGTTGTGGATGCGACACCCTGCGATTCTACTCCAGGCTGTATTCGGACGGAGTCGAGGGGCGACGAGTTCGTGTGTCAACATTGTCTGAAGAGCCATGCACTTTCCATACCATCAAATAGCCACTCCAATCGATAGCTGTCACTTGAAAATCCTACCAATCTGGCCATTTTCACATGTTTTTCCTCAAGTGTGCTGGTTGTCCACTTTTCCAGCCAAAGAAAATACTTTCGTGGGAGGCGAGATCGATAAAGACTGTGTTTCGGGTACAGCGAGGATATGAACGTTAACCGCACAGAACGAGAAGCAGAGGGAACTCGAGCTTTCTAGCGCTCGAAGAAGGAGAGCATGAACTTGAAGATGATTCGTGTACTGGTGTAAAAGTCAGTGTAGTGGAGACAAAGAGTGTTGTGGAGGGTATGGGAAAAGGTGTGAGCAAATTCGAAATCATGTGTCACTGACGTAACTTGTGCGAACTTTTAGACATAGAGTGGTGTGACTTGAGGTTGGCATCAACCGTGCTGTCAACCGAGCGGCACTGCGTACTAAGAATCATTTTGCAATTCTGCGGGCATGGTTTTAATACTCGACAGGAGCAACTTGCGTTTTTCAAGAGATGAAGACGAAGTCTGCACTTTAAACACTCGGGCATCCGCTCGTGATTTAGAGGACCTAAGTGATAGTCGCGGGCCACAAGCAGAAGATGGCCCTAGAGCGAAGTGGGCGACGACTTGAAAAGGCTCAGCGGCCTGCGACTGCGCAGTACGACTATGCTGGGAGAAGAAAGAGAGTCTGGCAAATGTAGAAAATCTAAGGGGCGGGCTCGTCAAGCGTGATCAACTTTGACTCCTTTCCACTATTGCGGCTCCTCAGAGGAGTGCAGTTTCCTGCCCGAAAGCGTGGGTTTGTTCATTCTGAAAGATAATCTGTATCTAATGAAGGGATCGTTACCTAGGCTGAACGTTTGCAACCTCGTAAGAATAACTCGTCATTTCACATGGTCATCTCGCAGGCTGCCAAGAGCGGGTACTATTATACGTTTCCAAGAGTTGGATAGGAGTGGCACTTGTTTACGGGCCGATTGCAAGGACATGGGATGGCGAAATACTCCACCCCCCCCCTAGAGAGCCTCGGCGCGCGATGAGAGTCAGAGAGCACGCCGGCAAGAGGGACGAGTTTGCACGCGCACTTTAGCGGCTGGGCGTCAAGTTCAATGTAAACACACTACAGTATCCACTACATTTACTCAGCCACATCTGTATAGTACAAAGAAAACAAGCATAAGCGGTGTGACTAAGCAGATATCGCATTTTTGAGCCCACGCCGTGGAGTGAATGGTGTGGGACGTATTGTAATGTGTTATATTGAACTTGACGCCTAACCGTATGCGGAGAGGACTCGTCCTCTGCCGCGCTGCGTCTTCTGACTTCGTCGCGCGACGGGCTCCTGGGAAGTGAGGGATGGCTATTCGTTGGATCCGGCTCGAGTTCCAGGAAAAAGAGCCACCTCATTTTTTGACGCGAATTCACCGAACCTTTCTGCGGCCTAAACGGTATTTCGTCGATGAGAAATTGTCAGTCGTTTGGTGCTTTAGTGTGAAAAGGAATTCAGGGTATCGTGCCTTGATTTTTTAATTATCATTTCGTAATGTCAGAAGCGTATAGACATTCGTTAAAAAAACCCGTTGAGCTGACTCCTTCATTTCAGGAGTTACTTTACCTTGACGTCACTCTTGAATGAAAGCCTGTGGACGTCAAGTTTGTAGAAGGTGCGTTTTTGGCCTCCTGGATCCACCAGTTCAAGTTTCTGAAGGAAAGCTCAGGGTAACACGAGAGCGGAATATTCGCGTTCTCAATCACATGGCCGGTGTGCGCCATATTTTGCCGCAAAACTGGAACAGCGACATTTTGGCCACAGTGACTGCCTCTCCTCTCTATTGTAAGCAGAAGGTTCTTCTCCAGCCAGAGTGCTTATTCCGATCTCAGGTTTGTCATTGCCATCTCACCCCAGGGTAAACTCCTCTAGCTTCTTCCTGTTCAGATCCTTGTGAGTCTCAAACCGAGCACATCGTGGACGTGGGAGTTCGCCTTTCGGACTCATCGATCTAATCTCTTTACCCTCCATACTACCAACTCAGACACCCTCCAAGTCCGCCTAGATCAAGGTCTCATTCAGAAATTCTGGAAATATTGAAGTAGTTCTCACGAGGTCTTTTACAGACTTCTTCTTGCGTACCGATTCATCGGATGGGCCAATCCCTGTGGGTCAGCTGTCTGACGGGCGATGGCACACGGTCACCATCTATTCCAAGGAGGGCGACGTCTTTTTCACGGTAGACGACTCTGAGAAGATTCGCTTGACAGAGCTGGATCTCCACGAATCGAGGTAACCTGAGAACATTAGTCTGAAATTCTTCAATTTCACCAAGCCAACCCGCTTTTTCGCATTTCTCAGCCCTGTCCTGTTCTTGATGAGCACACTTGATTATCAGTTATCAGTAGAAGATAATCAGAGCGACTTTTTAAGGCTGTCTGCTGTAGAGGTCGAATTGGATGGTGACATTCTGCTCATCGATCCATCGGATACTTCAGAAAACTGCGAAGTGAATGGACGAAGAAAACCTTACGGGTAAGTTATCACAAGAATGCTGGGTTATGGGCCCTCGGCCCGGAGCGCGGACCGAACAAGCGCAGGCAGTAAGGTGCTGCGATTGTCAGACCGTTGATTACAGTATTCAAATTTTACAGTAGTCGTTTTTGAGTCTCAAGTACGTCCATTTTTGCCCCAATTTTCGCGGTGCGATTGCCCTGCACGGGAAGATTCTGTCTTAATCTAATCTCATCCCTGGCTTTTGCACCCATCGGTTTACGTCGTCAAAGCTGTCATGATTCTCAAAAATCGTCTTTCCAAAGAAAATCTTTTTTTCAGGCACTCCCAGTTCAGGCCGTCATGCAGTGGCTGTGAATGCAAAATCCTCTCGGGGGTTTTCCAAGACTTCCCTTCTTTCACCTGCCCACACAGAGAGGATGAAGGTGCTATTGATCACTTGCTGCAATTTTGTTGACTTTTCTGACTCACTGATCTTCCAGCATACCATCTTATTCGAGACCCTGATCGCCTCTCATTCTTCTATCACCCCTCTCCGTCGAAAGAAAACCTTCGACTTGGACTCAGCTACAAGAGTGAATCGGTGAGCATATGCTTCTCTATGTTTTCTTTTCGGGCGGAAATGGTGTAGCGGTAAGTGGCGCTGCTTACACGCGCGCGATCCGAGCATCAAATCCTGGGTGTACTTGACAGCGTGACCTTGCCATCCTACCCGAATCAACGTAGTGGTTCCAATCTGCATGGAGGGTAAAACGGGACTGTACATCGGTTGCCTACTGCAGTCCATTGTTTGGGCCAGAACCGCATCTAACTAACCTTCTCTGGAAAGTAGAACCCGTGGCCAAGTCACCCACGTCACCAATCTCCCTTTCTTGGTATCTCGCATCCTTCTTCACATTGCTGTTCCGGATTCTGAGCAAACACAGGACCAGACAGGGTCCTTTTAATATCGGGACCGCCATCAGATCGCAGCCCCCTCCCGACGATCGGAAAGATATTAAGCTGTTTCTAAATGCATCTGACGCTGAGCTCTTTTCGATAATGTCCCTATTAACTGCTTCTAAATTGACTTTGATTTTTTTTTCAGGGTTTGGGAACGACCGCTGGACACGTGTGGCATTTTTCAATTACGGTAGCGAGATGTCGCTGGTGGTGGACAGGGACGCTTGCGTCCTTCGTGAGCTCAACGGACAAGACGGGTTAAGCCTGGCCGGTAAGTGAGCTGCCCCAGCTGGGTCAACGGCCCTCTCCAACACATAACTCAATTTTTCAGAGGTCTACTCGATTCCGGCCTTGGCCACGGGAAGTGCGCTGTTCATCGGTGGCATGTATTACGAGAAGAAGAAATCTGGGGTCTATCTGCCAAGTTTCGAGCACAAATTCTTTGAGAATACCCGGGAGAAAGTGCCGTCGCTACGGGTAAGTGCTACCCTCCCAACCTTCAACCCAAGAGTGATGATTCCTTTTAAGGGATGCTTGAAAGACGTCTACATTGACGGCGATCGCACCGATCTCTCCACCATCTTCAGTCGCCAGATGCAGCACACTTTGATCGATGCAGGAGACGAAAGCGCCTATGCTGTCGAGGTAATCTCCTCGCTCAACATTTTCAATGACCCTTTTTTCAGCCGTTACTAAAAAGTAGTTCAGGTCGTCCTTGTTCGAACCATAACCATTTCAAGCCGCGCTAAATATGGAACAAGGGGCATAAAACCTGAAATAACACCACAGCCGCCGAGATGTGCGAATATGTTCCGCAACCATTTCATGCGCCATAAAACATTGCACGTGAGATGTTCGCTCCTGTGCCAATAGGGGGTTTTGTACAATACTGCATGGGGCGCTTTGGCCCCAGCTCACCTGAATAATTGTTTGGAATATTCTCCTCTGGGACCTCGGGACCTTCTTCTCACTATTGACAGGGTACCATCTTCTTTAGAATGCGCCACGTATTCGACTTTCTCTCAAAAACTCTCTTCGGCACTATCGCAAAATATGGGGGCATTGTGGTGGCAATGCATTAAAATCGCGTAAAATATGTCATTTTTGTAGAAGCAGAACTAAACCCTAGGCGGGTAGGGAGAGACTCTAGGATGCGTCAGCCATTTTCATTCTACTCGGAATTCCTGCCCCCTCCTCGGCTGTTAGTCTTAGAAGATGCCCCCGTATATTGCAATAGGCCTCCCTTCTAGCTGCTTCTTGTTATTGTCGATGTGCAATAGTTAAGTAAACAAACAAACAAACTGGTTCAACATTCAGCTCACATAAGAAGTTGCAAGGCGAGTCAATGTTTCATTCGCTCCACCCTCTTATTCGAGCCATGCACTATTTACTGAAGCTCGAATAAATAGAAGGTTTGGCGCGCTTGTGTGGGAGTCGAACTCACCGACCGAGTGTTTTGTAGACCTCTAGCTCCAGGTTGTCGTCGTCAGTATGAACTTACAGTATAGACTGCCGTCGGCTTGTTATTGGCAACCACACCAATACCATAATATTTGCGATAGAGCTTCAAGTAGAAAGATAGCCGCGCAATCATTCTATTATTTGGGGTGCGCCAGGCATTCGAATTCTACTGCG